CTTTGCTTCAGCGCCTGGAAGTTTGATAGGTTCTTCGGGCCGCTGCGGTGTACGTACACCGCCTCACTCCTTGATGAACGGGCGGGGGAGGCCGCCAGGCGCCCCCGCGCTGCAGGAACAGCAGCAGCAGCAGGAGCAGCAGCAGCAGCAGCAGCAGCAGCAGGGGCCCCCCCCATGAAGCTGGCGCTGCGACGCATTTAAATCGAAGTCAAAGACACCAAAAATCATTCAACACACAGCAAATAGACAGATCGTTTGTAGTTGCAGCAACTGCTGCTGCTGCTGCTGCTGCAGCTGCTGCTGCAGCAACAGCCACAGCAGCAACTGCAGCAGCAGCCGAAGCCGGCGACTGTCTGTGTTTCTGAACGGAACAGAAGCGATGAATCAGCAGCAAAATAAATAGTGAAATCAAAATAAGAAGAAGAGAATTGGGGTGTATGTCGTCCCCGCCTCGCTGACACCGAAACACCGCTGAGCTGCCTATACACCTCAGCAGCACCTGAAGCCAATAAGAAAATCTTTATTTTTTTTTTGTTTTTTCGGTGATATTCATCCAAAAATATTGATGAGATCTATCCTAATGCTGACTCAACGGCTGGGCCCTCCCCTGGGGGCCCCCAGNATCCAAAAATATTGATGAGATCTATCCTAATGCTGACTCAACGGCTGGGCCCTCCCCTGGGGGCCCCCAGCCCCAAAAGCTGCTTCCAGGAGGGGCCCCCAAGGGGCTGCTGCAGTTGCTGCTGCTGCTGCTGCTGCTGCTGCAGCTGCTTGTATTTGTTGTTCGTTCCAGGCAGAGGAATAATGTAATTGTTTTGTTTTTAATGGACCAAGTGAAATTCATATTTTGTTTATTTCTGTTTACATAGAAGGCTGAATTCTCCTCTGTCTTATACTGCATACCGTTGCTTCTTCTCCCCCCAACATCGAGTGTATAGGCAGCAGCAGCAGCAGCAGCAGCAGCAGCAGCAGCGGCTATATCTGTAGCCATCGTTGTCTTCTCTCCTTCTTCTTCAGCCGTTGCTATCAACTGATTGCTGCTGAAGCTCCTGCAGCAGCAGCTTCCATCGAAAGACGCTGCACGTATGGGGGCCCCGGCAGCAGCAGCAGCAGCAGCAGGAGGGGCCCCCAGGCCCCAAGAGGGGCCCCCAGCTGCCCCTGCAGCATCAGCTCCTCCTATCCGTGTTGTGGTGTATTCGGTACCTCCTGGGGGGCCCCCCTGCGGTGTCTGTACACCCCAGGGGGCCCCCTCCCCCTTCTTCCACCCCGGTATTCAGCTGAGGCCCCAGAACAAAACCCTACAGTCTCTCTTGGGTCTTACTGACAGCCCAGCTATTAGCAGCAGCAGCAGCAGCAGCAGCAGCAACAGCAGCAGCAGCAGCAAGGGTTTATGCTATTCATCGATATCTGCGGTGTCTGTACACCCTAAGATTCGTTTTTTGTCAGCTCGTTTGGTTTCTGGTGGCTGTGTTGTGCTGCCTACTGAGACAGTGTACGGCCTGGGTGCTGCTGCATGCAGCAGCAAGGGGGTTTGCTCTGTCTTTGAGTTGAAGGAGCGGCCCTTCTCTGACCCCCTCATATGTCACGTTGTCTCTGCGCAGCAGGCGCTGCAGCAGGTNTGAAGGAGCGGCCCTTCTCTGACCCCCTCATATGTCACGTTGTCTCTGCGCAGCAGGCGCTGCAGCAGGTCGTGTGTCTTGATGATGAACAGCAGCAACCAGACAATGCTGCTGCTGCTGCTGCAGCAGCAGCAGCAGCAGCAGATGCAGCAGCAGATGTAGCAGCTAGAGAGAATAGGGGGCCCCTGAAGACTGTCTTCATGGCGCTAGCAGAGGCCTTCTGGCCGGGGCCCTTCACTATAGTAGCCAGACAACGCAGACTCTCTCCTGCTGCTGCTGCTGCTGCTGCAGCAGCAGCAGAGGCAGCAGCAACAGAGGCAGCAGCAACAGAGGCAGCAGCAGCAGGATTTCCAGCAGAAAAAGTTGCAGGTGAGTCCTCCTCTGCTTCTGTTGCCGCTGGCTCGGGGTGTATACAGACCAAGACAGCAGCAAGTTGCTGCAGCAGCAGCAGCAGCCCCTCTTCCTGCAGCAGCAGCAGCAGCAACAAGCCCTCTTCCTGCTGCAGCAGCAGAGCCTCTATAACCGGCGTAGTTGATGAGGTTTCGGGGTCTTCGGGGTTTGCTGCTGTTCGTGTGCCGCACCACCCCCTGGCATTGGCTCTTCTTGCTGCTGCTGCTGTTCCTGTTGCTGCTCCCTCCGCAAACAAATTCGGAAAGATATCACCAACCAAACCCCAGCACGTCATCAAGCAGCTGCACACGCTGCAGCAGCAGCAGCAGCAGCAGCAGCAGCAGCAACAGCAGCAGGAGGGACAGGAAAGGGGTGATGTGTATGATTTGCCTCTGTTAGATGGGGGGGAGTGCTGTTCTGTGGGTATAGAGTCAACGGTTGTAAAGCTGCTGCTGCTGCAGCAGCAACAGCAGCAGCAGCAGCAGCAGCAGCAGCAGCAGGCAAACACGGGAGTTTCAGCAGCAAACGAAGCTGAAGTGGAGGTACAAGTATTACGGAGAGGCATCATCTGCTGCAGCATGATAGAAGAAGCACTCGCAGCAGCAGCAGCAGCAGCAGCAGCAGCAGGAAACCCATTCCCTAGGTTTACTGTTACCGTATCCGATACTATAAGCTATCAACACAAAAATAAAAAAATTAAAACAACACATCAAAACACAAATGCAAATTCAAATAATTCAAATTCAAATTCAAATTCAAATAATTCAAATTCAGATTCAAAAAATTCAAATTCAAATTCAAATTCAAGAATTTCAGATTCAAATTCAAATAATTCAAATTCAGATTCAAAAAATTCAAATTCAAATTCAAGAATTTCAGATTCAAATTCAAACTCAAATAATTCAAATTCAAATTCAGGAAATTCAAATTCAAATTCAAGAATTTCAGAACCAAATTCAAAAATTTCAAATTCAGATTCAAAAAATTCAAATTCAGATTCAAAAATTTCAGATTCAAATTCAAGAAATTCAAATTCAGATTCAAATTCAGGAAATTCAAATTCAGTTTCAGGAAATTCAGATTCAAGAAATTCAAATTCAGATTCAAATTCAGTTAATTTAAATAATTTAAATAATTTAAATAATTTAAATAATTTAAATAATTTAAATAATTTAAATAATTTCAGTACTGGTGATGGTTGTTGCGAGTCAGTGGGTTCTGTTTCTTCTTTTTCTGCGCCTATGGAGAGCCCTGGTCAGTGTTTAACGCATTACTCTCCCTCTGTTCCTTCTTTTCTCCTTCGGAATGCAAATCACTGCAGCAAAGTCCTATTGAATCCAACAGCCATCAGCAGCAGTGACAGCAGCAGCAGCAGCAACAGCAGCAGCAGCAGCAGCAGCAGCAGCAGCAGCAGCAACTTTTGTTCGAGCCGCTGTATTCTTATTGACGCCAACGGTCAACTCCAATCGATTGCAAAGCACTTCGCCCGATATATATCCCTCATAAACCCAAAGCAGCAGCAA